CACATTTCAGCATAATTAGAGGCTTTTCTGACATGAAGATAAAACTTGATATGCAAAGTCTGTACAGTTGGATTCCGTGTTGCGCTACACCTCCAGATTTGGCCTTTATCTTACCTTTACATCAGGATGTTAGGCAATTCACCACCACCTGCAATTTACTTTGATTCTGGTGACTGTTAATTCTTACAGTGTGAATTGAAGACTTCTTTTAGAAAAGTTTCCAGTTTGTTATTTGGTCATTAAGTTGAAAAGGTCTGTGTACCTTTAAAAAGGTGATAATAAACATGATGAAAGTGTAAAGAAAGCTAAGTGATACTAAGAAGTTAGGTTATGGTCTTCTCTTTATTCATCCACCTATTAGAGGATGAAAGGGCATATAATGAGACAGAAGAGTGATACATTGAAGGCAGACAGGGATTTTCTTTGCATGTAATATGTTGCCATTCCTGAACAATATCCACATGCATAAATGTAACAGGATCCTGCAAAAGGTCAGGCATTAAATAGCCTCCAACATCAATTGCAATAGCAGTGATAAAAATATAAATTTCAAGATTATTGAATGGGCTTCTGAGGTCAGCTATGCTGTAGCTGTCTGTCACAGCATTCCGTGTACTGTCCTCCAAAACACATTCCAGTTAACACACCCAAAGCCTGGGAGCTATTTGCTCTGCCCGTTTTATCAAGTGTAATAGTCACCATGTTCCTGGGATGATCTGTGACCATCACTTTATTTATATTGGATACAATAACAGCCTGCTGGGATTCTGGCATCCTGACACTACCTGAGTGCTTGCTGAATGCTTTAAGTGTACTCCAGCTATTTCTTCCACAAGTGAACTCATATTCTGCTCTACTTAGAGATGCTTGTGTTGGCTCTTAGTGGGACATTTGAGACCTCTTCTGGTCCTGTACAAATCCTGTCTAAACTAGCACAGTGGCAGGACTGTTAACCTGGCTGATATAATTCCCAGAGAGTCTGGAACAGCTTCTCTGACATGAGACATATAAATGCTTCATGAGACCTGGAAGTTGCTGGCAGATGCTGCTACACTTTGGCCCTGTGCAGGCATCTCCTGCTTGCCTCACAACCAACTTTGCTTACAGTCAACTTGGCCCTCCCAGCTGTCTGCCCACATCTGTACAGTTTTCTTCCCAGGCCTTGCACTTCTGCAGTCCTGGTGAGTTTTAGAGAGCCAGGGACCTCTGCACCATGCTTGGCTGTGCAACATGGGCACCCCAAACACTGCCCATTGGTAGCTGAGAGCCAGGACTGTCCACTGGTACAGAGATAATTTCATGTATGATGGGATCAGGTAAGACAGGAGACATACAGGCCCTCTGACCTCAAATCTTTTAATCCTAGAAAGGAAAGGGAAAAGATTCAGCCTTTCACAGCTTCCCTCAGAGGGCAGTCTCAGAGGTAAAACCCCTGTGCTTTCAGTTGTTGAATTTCTGAGCTGTGCATTCTCACCCTTTCCTCCTACCCCAAGCAGTGAAATGTTTGTTGGTACTGTCCAGGAATTCATCTGTTGGTATTTTAATATGCATGTGTATGATCACCCAGTTGCTACAATTACACTGTGGGAATCTTGCTTCTAAAAATACACCAATCTCTGCTGCTGTCCAACACAAGCATGAGGTAATGGATCATGTTCCCCAGTTGCCAGTCACACACAGGAGGAAGGAAATCAATACCGCTGGCAATACAGAAAGACTACAAAAATTGTAATTACAACTAATTTCCCTTTCACTTAAAAACATCATCTTCCAGCCTGCATTATCACAGCTTCAGCTTTACAATGCATTAAAACAATCATGGGCTTCCCTTTGCTAGATAAAATCCTGTTCTTTTGCTTGAGAGCATCTTTGGAGCAGCTCAAAGTCTAAGGTTTATTATGGAAACCTTAAACCAGCTCCTACTCCAGCAGGTACTCTGTTGCTATCGGCATAGTTCCACCAAAACTGAGAGAGATTTTGCATCACTCAGGTTGTGATTGCTGTATTTTGTCTAGGGAAACACGTGAGCACACCATCTTTTAAATTTAAGGTGCAGCAAACTCCCTGATCTTGTTCTATCTCCTCTTCTGCATTATTTAAATGGCAGTTGAAAGCGCTGTGAGTCAGTGAAGGCTGTGAAAAAAACTGATGGAATGCCATTCATTTTACTATTATAAAAAGCTGTATTTTGAGGGATTTTGCATTACAAATAGTGCCTCTGATTCCAGAGGATCTACTCAGTGTATAGCCTTACTCAACCTTACCATTGTATATTTTGTCCAAATAATGTCTGCCTGGTGAGCCAAGGAGGGGAGGCTTGGGAGCCTGAACTTCAATGTTGCAGCCAAAACTCACGGTGATGAGACTTTGTGTGGAAATCAGTGTATTCCAAATTACAGCACTGACTGCTGAGTATGGCTGCTGCATCTCTGTTCTTCCCTCTCCCTGCCCATAGAATAAAAGCAATAATGTTAGAAATGGCAAGGGGCATTCATGCATTAATGCTAATTTTAGATGTTGACAGTGCTTTGAAGTTGTTCAGAGAGCTACATAAAGTGTCGTGCTACATAAAGTACACCTTGGTCGGTGTCTGCTAGAAGACACATAAAGGTCTGAAGCCACAGAAGAGTTCTTCTGGCAGTGCTGTTTCCAGCCATGGCTCTTCTGCAGGGAGAGGACTGGCCATCCCTGAGAAAAGGCAATGGAAAGAGAGGGGAATGCATGTGAAAGCAGTGTTCTGCACTCACACAATAATCCAAAGCTGCTCCTGGTTTTGCCCCTCAGAGTCTGTTTAATAACCACTTTGCTTGTTGTGTCTTTCTTCAAAAAACTGGGTGTAAAAGGAACCCCTCTATCCTTGCTGCAGGCTTTTTCCTTTTAAATTGAAATACTTTTTTTTCCCCCCTAGAGGTTGTAGTATCTGTTACTTTCCTGAGAGTGTTTTTTCTATCTAGAGCCATATTCTGTCCTTAGTTCTGATCTGGATCTCTCTTAGACAGCCATTGTCTTTCCCACTGAACAGAAAACTTCTTAGAGAGCAGCCAGGAAAGAATCCTCTCTGTCTCTTGGAGCATGCAGTGCTGCAGCTGCTACTGGAGCTGGTCATACATTACAACACTGTCAGCACTGGCTTTTCGCCCATCAAAGGGGTTTTTGGAGCCAGGCAAAGGCAGAGCCACTGAGCACTGTCAGGAACCTCCAGCATCTCCATCCATGCTTGGCAAGAGGCTGCTCCACAAGAACAGAGCTTTACTTTTCTGCTCCATCAAAGCAACTCCTGCCCCTGGCTCTGCTGTTAGTATCAGATTGCTTAGTCCTGAAATCCTGCTTTTCTCTGCTGCTTAGATCTACTGTGTAGCTTCAGTGGAGTTTTTCTGATTAACCAGGCTTTTGTTCCTGCCTTTCAGTCACAAGGAAGCCCTGCTCTGCCAACCAGGAGTCAGCATAGCTCTGGTTTGCTGTCACTTCTTACCCCTGAGAGAGAGAGAGCAGCCTTCTGCCTGCAGGGAAGAGAAAGACACCTCCTTCTTGGGGTCTTTCACAGAATGACCCTCCTGACATCACAGCCCTGGTCTAGCAAGGCACCAGTGAGGAAACTGAAGCCTCAAAACTTCAACAGGATAAGAAATGTGTAACTTCTGAAGCATGCTGGAGCCAACGTGATGTTTCAGAGCCAGCCTCTATTCTTAGAAAAGTGGTGAAAGTCATAATTTAAAAATAAAATCAAGTGCAGTGCTAGCAAAGAGTCATATTGGTGGTATTCCTGTGTGTAAATCCCTCAGCATGAATTGGCTTCACTTGAAGCTCAGAAACACTGCACCAAAATAAGGCCCAGCTGTGAGGTGTCTGTAGTACTGATCTGAACAGGAGAGAAGTACACATGGCTCTTGCCACATCAGGTGTCCTCCTCACCCCAAAACATGCCTGTGGTTCACTTTAGTATTACAGGTCAAACCAGAGCCTTCCAAGGCCCTCTGTAGGAGTTAGCCCTTGCAAGTGGTGGAATGTAATGTATATCCCTGCATGCACTTCTGCAGTGCTGTGCTTCTGCTGTCTGGTGGGGACTAGATGATGCTTTTGTACCATTCACAGACGTTTCTGGTTTGCAGTGAGGTTACCAAATGCCGTGTTTTATCTCAGAATCTCCAGATGTCAACATATTCCTTCTTAGGGTTGTGTGCAGTAAGCAAAGGGCCAACCTCTGTCTGGCTTTGAGCAGGGATGGCCACAGATTAATACTTATGGCTTAGAGCTGGGATGAACTTCCTGTGCAGCATCTGAATCAGTCATTTTATTGTCAGAAAAACCACAGAACTGGCTGTATTCAAATCCTGTTCATCTGCTGCTTTAGTACTGTTTGAATTTTGAGGTTTCCTTCAGAAAAACTCCCGTGTTTTACAGCCACAAGAGGCTGTAGGGCATAACCCTTTACCCACTTGGGTCACGCAGAATTTTTCCAATAACTTTAACTGACAGAAGCTGAGACCTAAATGTTTCCTCTTGCACTCAGTCAGGCCAATGTGAACACTACTTAAGGTGACACCAAAAAGTGAAACACTGGATCTCATAATAATATGCCTCTGGAGCTGATCTGGTGGTTTTACTCACCCTGTAGCACTCACCCATGAATGCAGCCCCACCAGAGTGAGATGAAACACGTGTGAGTTACACTGCTGTTTCACCCTGTGCAGAAGTGATCGGTGACCTGTGCCTCCTGAGGCTTACACTGCCCAGTGATGTCACCAGGAGTCCTGCAAGAGTCAGCGAGCTGTTTTTCCCACTAATGAAGTTATCTTATTGTTCTGCATGGTGCATTTAAACTGTAAAGCAGTTTTGTACAAGCTGCTACGAAAGCTGCACATCTCATTCTAAAGTTCCACACTACAGTCTAATGAGAAGAGTCTGAAAAACAGTCAGGAGATAAAAAACCCATAAGTTAAAGAAGTCAAAAGGGTATGTAATGAGCATTGTTAGTTCAGATAAAAGACAGAACAATTTAGTGAAGATTTCATGTTTTATTGTTATTAAAAGTTCATTATGAAATCAGCACAACACATAAAAATAGATCTGTGGTGAATGGTACATATTACTGTTATTGCCCGGTCGTTTTGTGCACACTCTCACTTTTAAAATCAGAAGGTAATGAATACAAGACATTTCACCAGCAAACTGTGAAACCAGTGTTCCTGCAGCAGAGAGAGGCTGTGCTTCCTGTTGACTCTATCCAATGTATAATGCAGTCAGAAATAGTCCTCTATTCACACTTAAAAATAAACTCAGTTTTAGAGTATGCCCCAGCTGAAAATAACTGGAGAGTGAGAGCTAGAAATAACTCTTTTCTTAGGGACCTATTTCCATGAAAGTCAAAGGGATTTTTGACATGGATTTTAAAAGCAGAAGGACACAGCTATTTGTTGACAGACAGAGAGTCCTAGCAACAGGAGCTAGGGAGGACCTGTGGCAAACAGGAGTTTATTATTTTGATCTTGCACATGCCGCTGAATCTCCTTGTTGTAGTAATTGTCTGTGTTCATTGCAGCAGTGATTGCTGGGAGGAGCTGGGAGGGTGTATCAAAGCCAGATAGGGCGTCTGCAGCTCATTTTTCTTCCCCCTGTTTGGGTTGGCCTTAGTTCTAACCCTACACACCATTCATTGCAAAGTGACTTTCACCTGTGTGCTTTCTGATCCATGTGAAAAAATCAGAACAATATCACGATTACAAAACCCCTCACCAGGTCACTTACTGTTCCTACACTGGTATAAGCTTTTCTTCCTTACTTCTGTGCTCATCACATCAGACATTTGAGGCTGCCTTCAGCCCCCGACTCTTGTTCCTTACATTGTCACATCAACTCCAGGCACGCTGGGAGGTTGCTAACTGGCTCAGCAGAATTGTTGTTCTGCAGTTTTCTGCATGGAAAGGTCTCTGTGCAGCCTCAGTGCAGAAAACAGTGCTGGAGCTCTCTGTGGGGAGCATTTCCTGTGGACAGGAGGCCAAATGAGCCCCACATCAGATATCCTGCTTGAATGTCCGTGGGGAAAAAACACCTTAGTGGTGTGGCTACTCCTACATTCTCCTGTTATTTATTTGGGAGCTTCTTTTACATCAGGTGAGTAGGAACATGAACCAATCCATGCTGTCCAAGCTTGTAAGCAATGCTGGTTTTTTGCCACAAGTCCTGGTAGGGAGCTGTGGAAGGTGGCAGCTAAAAATGTGGGAAAAGCCCATCCCTGGGAAGCTGCCATGCATCTCCATAGCCTTTACTTTGTCTGGCCCTGAAGTGCCCTCTAATGCCCTCTGAACTCCTGCTCTCTTAGGACTACCAAGCTGATGTGTGCTGTGGCCACTCTGGCCTTGTTCCCTCCACAGTGAGCAGTTTCAAAGATGAAGATAAAAATCTCAGTAGTGTTCCCTGTGTGGAAAATCTCTGGGCTTCAGTCTCAGCCTCGCAGCACGAGAGTGACAAGGGTGGAAAGCTGTCACAGCAGAATGGTGATTAAGGCTCTCCCTTTTGGTTTTCAGGCTGTTTACTCAAAGCAGCCCTTGAGAAAGATGCTGGGCCTCAAGCACATGTCACATTCAACCGGTTTAGCAATATTACGCCTGTTTCTGCTCAAACTAGCCAGGGAGGGGAGGGAGAATATAATATGTTAGTGCAAGTTCTCATAGACAACATATTAATATTTAGTACAAAATGTTCTTTCAAGGTGGGGCAAACATTTCTAATTGTGACACAAAAAGAAGGTATTTTGTAACAGTTTTAACAAGTTGCCTGTGAAAAAGCGTTTGTGTGAAATATGTTTAGACAGACTACCTCACATGACACTGAAATATTTCAAGGCTCCTTCTGAGCAGGCAATAACCTAGTTTTGTTTTTCTAAAATCAAATCAGCTTTATCACAGCCAATCCAAAACATAATTAAATAATTTGGTTGTGATTTTTTTCGTTAGTTGTATTTTTTTTTCTTTTTCCTCTTTGGAAAAATAAAGCTATGCTAAGTTGAGTATTTCCACTCCACATGGGTTTTACCCATTCAAGACTTCTTTCATTGCAGAAACAACTTCCTCATTCAGAGGAAACCACAGAAATATTCAGCTAATAAATTTTAGCAAATTATTTCAAAGGCTGGTTCATTCACTCCTGAAGTCCTGAAGAATTGCAGCTTCCAAGAGGCTCATAGACTACTTCTCCCTACTGAAAAGCATTTTATAAACCTGGCCTAATTTGAAAACAGTCTTTATTTCATGTCTATTAGGGCTTACATCCAAAACAAAGATGTGAGTAATCCCTAAATTGTGGAGAGTGAAAAATTCAGGTATAAATTTTGCAGTGCAGTCTCCCATTTGAAACATTTGGATTTGACCCAAAGTCCGACTAAGCAGAAACAATTAAGGCCTCAGTTTTCTCTGACTTACACTGTATGTGCAAGTGTTCTGCAGTTGCATTTTAACATGATCAGCCAGTATCAGTAAGTCAAGCACGAGTGGAACAGCCCTTGGTTACACAGACATCATCCTTTCTTCGCCTGCCATTGCCTGGTAGTGCCAAGAGCAAAAGCAAAATAAAGAGGCTTCCAATCAGGTGATCAACAGATAGACGTGTAAGCTTTCTTTAACTGTGACTTTCTTCCCTTTCTTGAGCTCTCAGCCAAGCCATAACCCATCAGAAGAGGATTCACAGCCATTCTTGCCTCGAAGCCTGGCTTAGAAACCACAACAGGGCAGGATCAGGTGGTGGAGTTATGCAAAGGCAAAACCAGAATCAGGGTCAAAAGAGCATTTTCCCCAGAGAGCAAACTCCTGGAGCAGGAACAAATGGGAGTGCCCAGCACAGCAGGTGGGAACAGGAGCAAGGCAGGAACACCAGGCCTTGCTCCCACCAGAGATGTCCCTGACACTGCACTGAGCTCACCTTGGCATCCCTGGTGTAGGCGCTGTGCTGCGCCAGGCGCCCGCGGGAGAGTGAATGCGTGGGGGCTGTGAAAATCCAAGGCAGCCAAAATGCTTTTTCCAGGATACAGTAAAGGCATGGAGGGGGAATCTCTACTGGTGGGCTGTCAGGGAGATTCCCTTTGGGTTTGTGCTACTGTAGGGTCATGGTGCTACTTACACTTCCCTCTGGCCCAGCGGGCCAGGCCCAGGCACCGGCCCTGCATCAGCAAACCTGGCTTTGGATGTCCAGCTGGAGAAAGCACTAGGCACAGAGGGTGCTAAATTTCTCTCCAAACAGAATTCATCTCCTGCCTGCATCAGCTTTGGAACCATAGGGAATTTTCAAGCTGGAGAAAAATCCAAAATACCTCATGTAGAAGCACCTTTCCCTTGGATATTTATTATAATAATTTTTAAGAATATATTTTATACCGAAACACTGTCAGCATTCTTTATACAATGGAAAATGACACAGTCATTATGTATCATGTAAAAGAGTAAAAACAGAGCAAGACAGGAACATTTCAGTTCAATATGGAGTACAAATAGAATCTGATGTACAGCTTGAAAGCCACACACCAGGTAAAAAGTTCAACTGGAAAACAACAGGTTCTCTTTTATTTTGGAAGTAGAAAGAAAAGATAGGGAACGTCAAATGTTAAGGCTAAAAATTAAATTTTTGACTTGTATTTTACAGGTGGTAGCCTGATTCTTAATTCATCTGCAGCAGCAGCAACAACCCCCCCGCTTTACAAACAGATTTGCACTTGCAAGAAATAAGAATCAGGCTTCTATGCTCGGAGGACTCTGATTGACCTCAACAGGCTTTGGACTAGAGCCACAGTTGGAATTTCAGCTTGCAAGTCTAAGGCTTCTTAACTGCAGGCCAAATTAGCACAAAATGAGGCTTTGCATTGGCATTCTACCCTTAACTTTGGATATTCCAGTTCTGGTTGCTTTAAACCACACTTTTATTGCAGGTTTAACATAGATCCGTTTGTGAGATACTTTTTTTGTTTTTTCTTAAATACTGTGCTACAGAGTCTGGTTTTTAGTCCCTATATTATGTGTCTTCAAAATTGCCTAAATATATGTTTATATCATGGTTACAACTACTCAGAAAGACCCACTGAAGTCCACTGTGAGCAGCCAAGGAAAAAAGTGTATTTAGTCCTAAAGAAGTCAAGAAAAGTGGCTGTGTTCATTTATAGTGTAGCACAATGACTGTGTTTATACAGCTATACCTACTATTTAAAAAGCTACTTGAAAAGTTATTATTCATGTGCCGTAGCTGATTTTCAAGCATTAATAACTTGGCTGTCTAGACAAGTTTTAATTGTCATATCAAAGGCCAAATATGTTCTCAAACAAGTGTAAAGAATCTCCCATCTCCCTTGGAAAGAGGCTGGTTCTCTTTCAGAATGAAGAGATTGCCAAATTTGACTTTTTCTCAGGTTATGAAAGCACAGTAAAACCCACAAATTTGCTGTTTAAGTTTTTAAAATGGATCGACTTCATCTCAAACCTATCCTATGCAGCAAAGTTAGTAAGCCCTGAAAAACAGATTCTAGTGAATATGCAGACCTCCCCCCCACCAACTACCATGCCCACGTTTTCCCAGGGCCTAGAGGGCTCCATTAAAATGCAACTAAATGTGCGATAGGAAACATGGTTTTTCAAGAACGATATGTAAAGTTTACCCGAAGAACCTAAGACATTTTGTACATTCAAAATGTTTACACTTTGCTGTTCTTAATCTTAAGATTGTTCATTTTTACTAATAATACATACAATGAGTATAAATAAATAAACTACAGATAAGTTTTAAAAATTGTATTAACAATACGTTGTGCAAAAACTCATAACAATCTACATTCTATGCAAATACCCTGACTAAAATACACAGGCTGTGTCCACACACCCTCAGTCAGTTTTTGCACAGTCCATGGGCCAAACCAGCAGCTGAGGGCAATCAGCAAAATTCCATTACAAGCTATGGAAGTAATGCTGATTTACACCAGCAGAAGGGCAGGCCCCAAGGTTTGTGCAAAAATGCCATAGAAATCAGTGGGAATTGTGCTTGACTAAGGACTAGACAATTTGATTGTACCCCATTAAAGTGAGTGGGAGTTTTGCCATTGATTTCCATGGAACCAGGCTCAGGCCCTGGGTAAGGACGTCAGCACATGGCCCTATGTTGTGCTACACTACTCCACTTCAGTGCAGAAACAATATTTGCAAAAGAAAAACTTGTTTTTGTCGTCACTGCTGTTCAGTAACCGGTTTTAGCGCTGCATTTCAGAGATTGCCTTTTCTGTGAGATTTGAAACGAGACTGCAAGTCTTTCTGAATCCATTCCAATTTGATTATCCAGCACAGGTGGGCTATTTTGATCCAAGAAAAACAGCTCAATGTCTATAAACCAACAGTGCTCTTCGTTAGGATAAAACACAGCCCGGTTCATCGGCACAGGAGTGAAGAACTGCATGCGGAAAAGGAACAGGGCAGTCTTCCTACCATAGCTGTGTCCAGAGCCGGCTGTCACTGCTCCCAACGGACGATGGCACCTGAGCTGGTTTGGAATCTGCAGTCCTAACAAGCTCAGCCCAGTTTTGTAAGCTGAAGATCTCCATTTATCTTTATTGTGTCAATTGCTGACAGTGTTTCAATACGGTGGTAAAAATCAAAGAGCTGATGTCCATCCACAAATATTCTAAAACGGGGATGCTCGCAAAGTATCTCAACCTGCAAAAGATAAAATGTTGAAGCATGTTGTTCACAGTGTAACTGGGAAGTTGTTTCACAGCACACAAAGAGCACTTCAAAGAGCTACAGCTGCACATTGTGCTACTTATGTGCCACGCAAGAGACAAAGGTGAGACCAGTTTACCCCCTTGACACCAGTTCCGCTATGACGGATCTGCTCTTACTGCACAAGGACATTAATCCAATCTCAAATCTCACATCTTACTGTCCTAGCAGTAAGCACGCTGCAACCCAGTCCACTGGCTACTGGGAGGGTTTGTGTCCTGGAATAATGCCAGAAACAGACTCAAACTGCTAATCACAGCAGGAGGAAATTTAACCTCCAACCCAAACCTTGCATTCCTTGTGTGACAGTTTCAGTTCAAAATGGGCAGAAAAGACTACAAAATTGTTCATTTTGGTGGTGGTTTGTGTTTTTTGGTTGTGGTTTTTTTTTTTTTTTTTTCCCTGCATAAGGAGACAGCTCCCTCTGCAATGCTTTCCACACTACTTTTAATTTACTGGAAGGGAGTAAACATGGAAAGAGGATATAAGTTTGTTCTTCCCTCCCACATACACACACAGCTGCTGCAGAACTAAAACCCTTTCACTCCTGTGGCTGCAGACAGTCCCTGTCAGACTGGACTCCATCCTGGGGCTGCAGTGAAGGAAATGCAGTGCAGGATCGCTGGGAATTCAGCTAAACAGCTCTCAGGAGGCACAAAGAGGATCAGAGAGGGATACAGCTCACCCCTCTTCCTGAGAGACCTGCAGAAATGCTCTGGAAAAGCAACAAAGCCTGGAGCTGAACAAGCTTGGACATGTTGGGAGATTCCTGATGTTTGGGGTGGCTTGAGAGGGTGCCCTGTTGTTAGGCTTTGCTGGAACTGCCCCAGCAGGAAGCTGGGACATCAGGGCACAAAACATGCACTTTTACAGGCTCTTGGAGACCTCCAGATCTAGACACACTAAGGAGAAAATCTTCAGGGAAGCCACATGTAAATCCTGGGTCATTTCCAGAAGCTGGAAGTCCGGAGTGAAGTGCTGCTACCAAACACTTGATTCTGCTGCTATTACAGTGTATAAAAATGGGAACAGGGCCCGTGACAAACTGACTGTGCCAAAGCCCCAGTGACTCAGAGCACGCTGCACCAGGAGAAGTGGCAGCAGGCAGTCCAGGAGAGCTGGAACTCCTGGATCCCTGGTAGCGCACCAGGTACCAAGGAAGCGGCTGCGCTGCCATGGAGCTCCTGTGTCACTGCAGCAGTGCCTGCCTGAGGCCTTGTTATGTAAAAGATATGGTTAACACTGCTCACGGTCCGCTTTTCACATCACCTGCGGCCACGCCACAGCGCTAATTGGACTGGATCACAAGTAATTGGCAAGAGCACTTAATAGTCTTAATTTATTCACTGAGATGGAGACCATCAAAAGTACAAAGTCAATTGGGAGCCTCAATTCTGTTTGGGCCTTTGGGAAAAAAGGAGGAAAAAAAGGGAAAATAACTCCCCTTCTACAGCCTCCCATGCTAGATGTGCAATTTTGCTGTCCTGTATCATCATCTCTCATTAGTGGGACATGCACAAAACTTGCTCTGGGTAATTTGTCTGGCTGTCTGAGGGCCCAGTCACCACCCAGTGCAGAAGGCAGTGGAACCCTTTCAGATGGAGCAGGACCCAGCCTCCAAGCCTTTTCAAGTACATTTCCCACACCACCAAAGGGTGTTGCCAGTTCTGATGGGAGGGTGAGTTTGTAGAAACAAGTAGAGCGCAACCAATTTGCAGCAAAACCAGTCATATAAACACCCTCTTAACACCAAGCATCTGGGGAGATGGTGAGCTTTTGGGGTTGGGGGAGATTATCTTGGGGGCAAGAAGGATTAAGAGAGTTTGGCAGCTGGTCACAGCACTGGCATTTAGCAGAGGGGCCAGTGAGGTTTTGTAAGAGGGACAGGGAGGAGGAGGGGTTTTCTGGGTCAGCTGCATGGAAAAGGCATGCAGCCTTTTTTCCTCAATGTAGTGAGAGGGAAGCAGCCCTCTGCAGCTGCATACTTTGTTAGTCCTGATTTGCAAAGACATCTTCACATAACCATAAACACTACAGATGGGACTCTGCTTCTAGGTCAACCCAGTCCATCCACAGCACCATAGCACTTCCATGTACACTGTTTTCAAGTGACTATAGATTTAAATTTGATGGAAGGTTTAATCCCAGGGTTCAGAAAAGAATACCACTGTTGCTTAGCTGTTTAATCTGCTGACACGAAGAGCTACGGTCAACCTTAACGTAACATCCCTGGGGACAAAGGATGAACGTGATCCTTATTAGCTGCACTAAATTGCAAACAGTATGTCCATTAAAAAAACCATCAATATATACAGCAGCCCCACTGAATATTAACATTCTCCAGTAATAACTTGTAATGCACTAATAACATAGAGGTACCTCTTAATTTATGGTTATAAAACTAAGTTCAGGAAGTTGAGCTTCATCACACAGTATTACAACCTCCGACTTGTCATAGCGCCCAGGTGAGGTGTTCACAGCCCCATCTGAACTGCCTGCAGCTGCACGTAGCAGCGGGATCTCCACGCAACTCGATGGATACAAACAAACCAGCAACTGGTGTCTCAACCGGAGCAGTGCGGGCTGCACTGTGATTTCATGAAAGGCACGTCAGGTTCTGCTGCAACTCGTATCAAATGACACTTTATCAGACATGGTGTAAGCCACTGCCATCCTGGTACTCACCCTAAAAGGCTGGTCTGGTATAAATGGAAAGTAAGGAATAGACGACTGCTCTTCCCCCCATTCTCCGGCTACACAAGAGTTTCTGACGAACTGTCTCTCTGTAAACACAGCTTTCAGTTCTATGGCTACATCCGCAGGAGGATCTTCTGACTCCCCACAAGTCAGACTGATGCCAAAGCTGCAACACAAACAGAACAGCTCTCATTCAGTCAGAAAAAAAGCAAATAAGCCCCAAATGCTGCCAGTCTTATTTCTCAGCTTATTAAAGCATTATAGTGGCACAGGCTGGAAGACAGCTCAGATCGTTCAGAGCTCTCTGAAAGCTCAACAGGGACAACAACATGGTTATGGAATACATATGTGTGTGTGTGTATGGCGTTGGGCATATATCTGTACATATATGCAGATACATATGCTTGATATGCTCCTTGACTCCCAAGTGAAAACGGAATCCCTTGAAGAAATGCCCCCTCTATGGGTCAAAGGAGAAATCAGCATGCTATATTTAAAATGATAAAAATAATCCTTTCCAGAAAGGAGGGATCCGTGCGGATGTGTGTGTGTGTGTACGTGCGGGTGGCCGCCCCCCTTCGCCCCCTCCCCGGGCCCGGCGCCCCCGGCACGGGCAGCCCTGTCCAGGTGTTACCTCTCGGGGTTGAGGTCCACTATGCCCATAACTAAGATCTTCTTTCCCGGCCTCATTCCTCCTTTGATGTGCCCACAGAAGGGGACGATCTGGAAAGGACAGGGGGAAGGTGGCGAGGGTCAGCACGGCATCAGCAGCGGCCGCCCTTGTGCAGCCCGAGCTGAGCGGGGGCGGGGGGCAGTAAAGGGGTTGACAGAATAAAATACACCACCACCCGCACCAGAAAAAAAAAAAAAAAAAAAAAAAGGGAAAAAAAAACCCCAAACAAACAAAGGTGATTTACCAGGCGAGGGAAGTACACATCAGCTTGCACCGGAGATCCCAGGGAGTTGTTTAAATGCCCGTCCTCTATTTTCTGCAGGTAAAAAGGAGAGCGCTGAGGCAGGGCCAGGCGGAGCCCCCCAGCCTGCCCTGCTCCGCAGGTGCCCTGCTCGGACCCCAGGCCCGCCCCGGTGCCCGTCCCGGTGCCCGTCCCGGTGCCCACAGCCGCACTCACCAGCGCGTCCCGCTCGGCCACGGTCCCCGCCATCTTGTGGAAGCGGTGGCGGCGGCGCTGGGGACAGGGCGGGGAGGAGGAGGAGGAGGAGGAGGAGGAGGAGGAAGAGGAGGAGGGGAGGTGGCCGGCTGGCACTGCCTCGCCCGGCGGGGAGCCCAGCCCTTGGCCCGAGGGGGAGCCGGGCAGGGCGGGGCGGGGGCTGCCGCCGCTTGCTCCGCTCCGCAGCCCCGCGGCGGGGCCGTCCCTCGGCGAGCGGGAGAGCGCGGCTCCGCTGAGGGATGGCGGTGGGCCCGGGCCGGCCGGGCCGGGCCCCTCACCTGGCGCCTGCAGGTGATGGGTGCCTGGGGAGGGGCCGCAGCAGCCCCGCGGCCATCATGTCAGGGATCGCCTTTATGTCCGAGCTTGGACACCTCGGCGAAGGGAATGCGCCGCGCCGGGCGTCCTGGGTGACTCCCTTCCTCCAGAGGTGGGGACACTGCTCGGCCCCTCCGGCGTGAACCTCCACCCCCACCCCTCCGTGCCCCGTGGCGAGGACCCCCAGGGGGCTGAGACCCCGAGTGGGGTCGGTGAGCAGAGCTCCGAGGGTGAGGGGAGTCTCCAGGCCCCGAGTGCGGCTCGGCTCCCCCGGGCCCGCCGTCCCTGCAGCCTCCGGCGAGGTGCGGTAATTGCATAAGCCGGCCCGTGCCCGGGAGCTCCCATTGACATGCAGTGGCCGTGGTTACGCAACGCGGCGGTGTCTGCGGGTGTCCCGCTCTGCGGGAGCGCGGCGACCTCCGCCCGCGGCCACCGGCCCCGCTCGTGCCGCGCCAGGATTCCCTCGCCTGTACCGACCACAGGAGTGACTTGACCCGCCAAACGTGCTGTCGTGGTCCTTTTGATGAGTTCAGGGTCTTGGGTGTGGGGAATTGAGGAAGGCTTTCTTGTCGCTTCTTCACCACTGGGATTTGATGGCATGAGCATGCCTTTAGGAACGTGACACAGCAACTGGATTTGGCCTGTGCTCTGCAGGACCTCACGCAGGGGCCTTGGGTTTTCATGCCTCTTGCTTACACACTGGGCTGGTTTGGTGAATGTCCCTGTCCTTCCTCCTCCGAGGCACTGTGAGGATTAATTACATTGAGTAAAGTGGAGTGGGAGAAGCAAAGTCACTGCAATATTTAGGGTTTCAGTATGATGGTGTCCATTGGGAAACACCTGCAATCAGTAGGTGATGCCATTTGAGAAATCAAGAGGTACTGAGTGTAAGAACAGATTGTGCAAGTGTTTAGACGCTTGGCTATTTTTTCAATAGTGCCCATAATTTGGGCATGTTTTCCTCTCTGGATGCCCAGTTGGAGATGGCTCACAGAAGCTGATGTTTGGAAGTCATGTAGTGAAGTCATGGCTTCTTCAGGGTGTACCAGCACAGCTGGGCACAGAGGCAGTGAGCCTCCCTGTGGCCCAGGTCTCGGCATGGGAAAACCACTGGACTGTTTTCTTCTTGCCAAAACACTGTCTCGTCACCACAAGGGAAAGCATCTTGCTGGAGACTGAATTTGTAAATAGCACAGTAACACGAACCCATCACACATCAGAAACAACTAGCTTTACAGTGGTCAGGTGAGTGTATTCACAAGTTTACCACAAAGTGGAACTGGAATTAGCTTGATGTGTTTCACCTCCTCTATGCTGCTCACCTCACCATGATGATGATGCCAACTTCATTATGTTTTTTCTGTTGGTCTAAGAGGGAACAGAAATAAAACTAAGCTTTTTTTTTTTTTTTTTTTTTTTAATTTAGTTGTATGGTGTTGCACATTGTCCAAAGAGCTCTTTTCAGAACCCTTTGTCTTCTCTGCTGTACAGAGAGACACTTTGTTGGATAAAATTAAATTCATTGGACATAAAATCAGGCCAGCCAGTTGTTTGTGCCAAAGCATGATGTTTTATGAAGGGAGAGGCCATCATTATGTATCTGTTTTGTAGCTGGTTTTAAATGAACTTTTTCTTTTCAAAATAATTAAATAACAAGACTTGTCCATTTGGCTAGCTGCTTTGCCTTGTGCTTGTCTTTTTGGCTTGTTTTCCCAAAACTAGCACAGATGCAGCATTTATTTTGTTGGCCATGGATTGACTGGAACAACCCGCACTATGAAATTTTGATGGAAAAGGACGTTCATGAGTTTTTAAAGCTCTGGTGGCCTGTGCCTGTCTGTTTCTGTGCCATGTTATCCTCTTAGCCTGTAATAGACCAGGAGGACACTGAAATCCTCTGTATACCATGAACAATGTGAGGCAGTCAGAGAGGAGCTCTGCCTCAGTACGCCCCTGTCCTGCCTGTCTGATGGTCACTCCTGTAGTTTCTCCGAGGGAGGTGTTCTCCAGCAGAAGATTACCTGCATTGCCCAGCAGTCCATGGAGCAGGATTCCATGTCTGGGCAGCACTGTGCCTCTCACCCATGGCAGGGCTTCCTTGAGACCCAGCTTCCCAGAAGGTTCCCTCTGCAAAGAGCTGCAGGGTGAGTGCTGCACCTAAGTTCCTCTGCTTGTTCTGCTGAAAAAGGAGAGGTCTGAGCCAAATCTGTTCCCTCACCCATGTAGTGCTTGTTAAATTATGTGTACAGAATAGCCCCATTCAGTATTTTTAACACCTTTCTTGGCAGGGAAACTCTTGAGTTACCATACTTGAGGGCCTAAGCTTGCAAACCTTGTGGTAGTAGCTGGAGCAACATGATAAATATTTGTGCACTACTGAAATGGTGCTGAAGTACAAGCTACCAAACTTGTCTGGTTGACCAAGTGCAAAAAACCTTGTGGACAGGTATTGTCTTCCATTTCTGGGTTTCTACAGCCTTTAGCTCAGTGGGAGCCTGGGACTCTTGGAATGCAGAGAATCATATAAAAATTAAAAAGAAGTGGCATGGCGTGAGCACCATTTGGGAGCAGTTAATGACATGCCCAGCCCAGCCACCAAAGCCATTGCTGAGAGCTGAGAACTGGCAAACCCAGAACTTCATCTTAATCCCAACACCTTGTATCTTACAGCCACTCCCTTTGATGATTTAAAAAGGTGTATCTAATTCTTAGCTGGCCTTCACTGGCAAGGAATGCAGCACGATTGCAAATTTGGTGTGGTATAATTACCCTGTCTTTCTTGCCCCATTACCACTGACATTACTCTCCTCATGCCTGGGTTTATAGGCTGACTTGTAGAACCTCTCTGGTTTGTTTTGCTTTTTTAATGACAATGTTGAGAGGATGGGAGGTGTTTGCTGGTTTCATGGAAGCTTCCTTTGGTTTCTGGGTGGCAAGGCACCTCACTCCTCGTTTTTGTAAGACTCGGAAAAAGCTGAGTAATACAATAAAGGAGAATGTCTGGGAATAAATGTGATTCAGTGGTTGGAGTCAACTGTTTAATAGTTCAGAGGAAATGCTCATTTTCAGGATTACACCTGAATGGCAGTGCTGATAAACAATTATTTGGGTTGTATAGTGGGTTTTTTTTTTTTACCTTTGTAGCTTTGCCACTGCAAATCCTCAGTTAGAGGGTTTTTTCCAGACATAAATTTACCCTGGACGGGGTGTCCAAGGCAGGACATCATCCAAGGGAGAGGATGGTACTGACAATTACAGGGGATTGAAAGGGGCAGGGGCTGGAGAGCAGAGCAGATGTTGTACATGCCCTCTTGCTGCGTGGCTTTAAGGCGTTCCGAGGACAGGTTCCTCTGGCACCGAGGCCAAACCACGGGGTGCTGTGTTCTGGGGGAGATGTCCCTGAGCCTGCCCTCCCACGCTCACCCGTGGGAAAGACAAGTGACAGTTATCAGTACGGACAGCAGGGAGGGAGTGTTCAGCAGCCTGTGTGCTTTCACAGGCTTGTGCTGTCACACACACGTGGATGGAGGAGGAAACCCAGGGCCACGAGCATCATCCTCCTTTTGACATTTATTTCATGTGGCTTCACTGCTTCTTGTTGCCCCCTGAATTATTGCGGTCAAGGGTTTTGCCCTTAGGCTTTGAGCTCTGTCTGTGTGTGAACCCCCAGGAGAAGTTGGTTTTCTGGGGCTCCCAGTAACAGATTAAACTGATGTTTAAGGGGGTGGTCCTGGTGGCTGAGTTGGTTGGTGGCACACAGAACTGCTGCATGTCTGGTGCAGAACGTGTGTGTATCACAAATATCTGTCTTGAAGACTGTTTACTGAAGTTTGCCCCAGGATCTGAGGGCATGTACATAAATGCATGTCAGATACAGTGAAAGCCACCTCCAGCTCACTGCTTGCCTCTTCTTATAGCAAACAGGGTACCAAACTGCACCCACAGCTGCCTCTGTCCCCTGGACCAGCTGTGGGTGCCAGGTGGGAGGAACAAGCTGGCTGGGGAAGAAGAGCAGGGAGGTCACCATGAAGACATGACACTCATTACCTGCCTCTTTCCCACTGGCTCCTGCATTGCCAGTTTCAGGTGAGTTGTGGTTCCCATGTCCAAGAGGCAGGCAGGAGAGGTTCCCAACTGTGCTCATGCCACAGAGGGCAGAGGGGGGAGCCAGAGCGTGGACAGCACCTCTGTTCTGCCACCATGTCCTTCCCCATGAGTGCAGAGACCCATCTCTGATCTCCTTCTGGGGTCAGCAGGGCCTGAGGCTGTTTCTGCTCTGTTTCTGCAGCAGAAAGAGCTGTGGGTGGACACACTGCTGCGGTAAGCTGGGGGATGCTCCAGACACAGCTGGGTAGGGGAACACAGCTCCCCAGCTGGGGAGAGGTGTCCGTGTGGCTGCAGCAGGAGCTGCCTGACAAGAGAGAAGAGATGGCTTGGAGCTCAGCTCACTCCATGTCCATTCCTGCTGCACAGGACACCACAAGGAGCCAAGAGAGCCTGGGTGACCCACCTGGAGCTGAGCTGCCCGTGCCATTGAGAGTCTCTCTGCTCTGGGCTCAGTCACTGAGTGCTGGTGCTCCAGCCAAGCAGTAGAGACATCACTGCACACCTTCTCCTTCTCCTCTCTTTCCCAGTGGAGTCCAGCAGGGCTGGGAGCCTGGAGGAGCTGGTGGAGGCCAGCAGAGATGACAGTGGGAGACTTCCAGCTGCCTCTGGCTGTGCTGTGGTATATGCAGCCAGTGGAGTGAGCTTGTGTGGGAGGGAGGGAAGGGGAGTCCCACAGTGCCAGTCAGGGAGATGGAGAGGTCTGGGGAGCCACCAGCAGCACTGTATGTGCTCGCTGGCAGTGCTGGGAGAAACCTGTCATGCAGGACAGGGGGCCTGGGAGCACAGAGAGTCTCGGCTCTGCCATGCTCAGTCTGCTGGTGCCAGGTGACAACTCACCAGTGGCCCTTTCTGCTGAGCGGCTGCTCCCCCAAAGGAAGCAAAATCCTGCCTC